CTTACTTCCGATCTTTTTTGGAAACCATACATCAAATCCATTGCAAATTTATCTGCTAAGATTGCATCTCTTTATCGTGTTCGTCATTTTTTTACTCTAGATTCCATTCTTGATCTCTATAAATTCTATAAATACCTCTATAAATCTCTAGTTTGTTGTTGGTTGGAATACTTTTGCGATATCTAAAGTGGATCTTTGAATGATGCCCTTTCTCTTTTAGACAAGCTGTAGGAACACTTGTAAACATTGTTGGACTTCCTCTTGTAGCCAAGTTTTAACCATTATCACATTTTTTTATGCTTCTCTTTCTCGTTTCTAAAAATACTATAATGGGTGTTGCTTTAAAGAGCTTGCATCTCTTGTGCCATCTATTAAAGTTCATTCTCATGTTGCATTCTTTTAAGTTTATTTATTTGGCAAATATTTATTAAAAAGTACGTCATTTAAAAAAAATTGTACAAACTATTATGTGTTATATTCTAATGTTATGTATGTTTTCTTTATTTCTTTAGTTCTGCTTTTTTTAGTTTTAGTTCTGCTTCTTCTTTTTTTGGTTTGTCTACAGTTGAAACATGATTTAATTTTAGTAAATTTTCATAATTTAAAATTTACTTTATTAATCATAAGTCAATATTTAGGGAGAAACTGGAATTCTTCACAAATGAGGTAAAAATAATTTTGTTTTCTTGTAACAAAATAAATAAATTTTTACAGTTATTTGCGTTATTGCTGTTTTGTTTTTATTTTATTTTTTTGTGAAATTTTTGTCAAAACAACAATTGCCATCTCGTATGAAAATTTATATTTGAAAAAAGAAATAATTCTGGGGTTATTGTGTATCATTAGTATAACCCTAACAACTTATTACTAAGTTGTCCAATATTTTATGATGCCACAATTAATAATAACCAATTTTGCAGGTTTATCAACTATGATTGTTCGTTGACTTTAATCCTTTTAGTTGGCTGTTTAAACTAACTAAAAACATTAAAAAGGTTTTTTAAAAGTTAAAAAAAACTTAAAAAGGTTTTATTAAAAAAAGTTGTATACATATTGCCAAAGATCCTTCTAAAACATCTATCAATCAAGTTTAATGGATCAGTTAGATTTTCTGATGTTGGCTATTTAAATGTCCATATAGATGACAAAGTTTTTAATGATGAAGTTATGGAAGCCTTAGACTTTGTAATTTGTAATTACAGCTTCAATAATAAATGACAATGCAAGAATCAGCTCAATGTTTCCTGATTCTGCTGTAGCAAAGCGGTAAAAATAGATTAATCAAAAATTAAATACCATATACAGTCAGGTCCTTAAGTTAAATTTATGTTAAAGTCTGATATTTCTCGTTGTTTTTTTTTTAATTAAATGAGACAACAACTAAGCAATTAAAAAAGCAGTATAATGGATATCTCCAGCGTGCTATTGTTAAAGATTAACTTAAGGAACATTGTAAATTTTGACAGTTTTTTGAAGCAACTTTAGTGCATGCTGTTTAATTTTGATGTTATAAACCTTTTCAGATTTCACCTCAAGTGTTATATATAATGAGTACTTCAAGAAATAACATTAGAGTATCAATAAGCAAAACTTTGTACGAAAAAAGAAAAGATTTTTTCATTGAAATCGTTATACTATCTGAATATTGTTCCAGTTCAAGTCGTGCAAGTGCAAGAAAATTACTGCCACTGATAAATAGAAATCAAGTTGTAAATGACAATGTGAATAATCATTATTTCATACTTATCAATTTTTCAATTTTAAGTGATATCGTGGAAGATGTTAAATGTCTAGATTGGTACTGCCTTGTTACCATTGTTGATAATCTTTCTAAGCGCATGGGTTCTGCCCATCACCTTGAAATCAAGTGTAGTTTATGTGAATGGAAAAAGGTTTTGTATTCTTCTAAGCAGATTAGTAAATTTAATGGAAATACAGCCCAGGGTAGGAAAGCTTTTTAAGCAAACACAAGAATGAAATTTGGATTTAGAGAAATAGGTAAAGGGTATCAATCTATAAAAAACTTTAGTTGCTGTATGAACTTACACTGTTTGACAACTACTCCATTTAGAAAACTAAATATAGAAATATCAAAAGCTTATGATAAAACTGCTAAAGAAGGTATGAAACGTGCCACAACTAAAATGAAGGATAATTATACTGATGATACTAAACCAATAATGAAGCATGCTAAGATTGATGGTGCATGTCAACGACGCGGCCATACCTCCTTTAATGGATTCGTAAGTGCAATTGTGGGTGAGAAGTGCGTTGATTATGAAGCAACGTCAAAATTTTGCATGGACAGTAGAATATGGAAAAATAAAAAACTTCACCACGATACAATAGCTTGGAAAGCTCAGCATGCTTGTCATATAAATCATAAACAATCTTCTGGGTCAATGGAAGCATCTGGTGCTGTAATATTTGCACGTTCAATTAAAAAAAATAATATTATTTATACTCATTATCTTGGAGGTGGAGATAACTCATCTTTTAAAGAAGTAATAAAACCTGATCCCTATAAAGACTATAAAATAACTCCTGAAAAGTTAGAGTGTGTTGCACATGTACAAAAAAGAATGGGTACACGGTTACAAAATTTAATCAAATGTTACAAAGGAGCGTCAACTCGACTAGGTGGAAAAAAAAAACTGACAGAAAATGTGATTAACAGAATGCAAAATTTTTATCGTTTAGCTATAAGAAGTAATATAAATAATATTTATGCCATGAAAAAGACAATATGGGCTATTTTGTTCCACTGTACTAGATATTCAAATCAAAAGTTTTGCCACTGCTTTTGCCCAAAAACTGAAACTAGTTGGTATCAATATCAATATGACAAATTACATATTACTTCAAAGTATAAAAAACATATTAATTTACCATTATGGATTAGTAACCTTTTGAAACCAGTGTTTAAAGATCTATCAAATGAAGATTTATTATTAAATTGTGTACTTGGGAAAACCCAAAATGCAAATGAAAGTCTTAATGCATTGGTTTGGTCTCGTTGCCCTAAAAACATACTTGTTTGTAAGCAAACTTTTGAAATGAATAATTCAGCAATTTTACACTACAATGGTAGTGAAGGTGTTAAAAATGTTTTACTTTTATTTGGACTATCAGGCGTTGTTACAAATTCTAAATCTTATGAACAAAATGTTTCATGTGTAAAGAGCATGGAGATCAAGTCAAGTGAAATAGTAAAAAATAGAAGAAAAAGTCTCAGAGCAATAAAAAAAAGATACTCTGATAAACAAAGTCAAAATAAAACATCATTTTATGTATCAGGAGGGTTTTAAACATATTGTATATATATTTTTAAACATATTATAACTTTATTTTGCGTTTTATTGAATTTGATTTTTTGCAAAATTTTGTAACTTCAAAACCAAATATCTTAAGTTAGAAAAATTCAATTTACTTGAAATTTTCACAGTATCTTCAGTATACATATGAAATTCATTTGAACTAAAATTTTATAATAATTAAATGTATTTATTGCTTATTATTTGTTTTTTATTCTCAATTTGGTTTTTTTTTTTTAATGCATACAAAATAAATTATGAATGTTTTTAATTCTATTAAGATTCAATGTCATTTTAGTTCAAATGAATTATCTATTGTTGAAGAACAAACCTACAAAAATTCACTGTGATTTGTTGATAATATTTTGTGATAATGTGTTTTAAAATTTCCTTATTTTTTGGTTTATTTTTTTATATAAGTATGGGTAGGCGAGGCAAATTATTAAAAAAAAAATTGTCAATAGTTTTTAAAAGAATTAGGATTTTTCTAGTACTACCACCTTAATGATTTTGATTTTCCAATTGTATTGTTTATTAATTGATTTATTAACGTTAATTAATTGATTTATTAACGGTAATAACCAATTGATTTTATTGCGCACAAGATAAATACGTAGGGTTAAGCTTTTAAAATCTTTAATGCTTTCGATAAAAAAAAAGCAAGTTGCAGATATTCTGCATAAAAAAATTTCTACGGTATATTAGATCCAAGGTACTCATATGCACGATCGAAGAAGGTTTTGCATTGGCATGTCTAGAACATTTGCGAGCATGTAAATAACGATGTCGTATGTATTGTCTGTTTCGGCATTTAGTTAGTTTTTCGTATGAAAATTTAAGAACTGATGAGCTAATTTTAACTTTATTTTGTTAAAAATAAAGAAAATTTGTTGTACACAAAGTTTCTTTATTTTTAAAAACACAGTTTTTAAAAATAAAGAGAATAAGGCATTGCTGATATTTTTTTTGTTGAGTAATTAGAACAGTTAATATCTAGAGTTGAAAATTCACTAATATTAGTTTTAATAGACTATTTAGGATTTTTTTTTTAAACTTGAAAAATAAACTTTTTTTGGAATAACTCAAACAATTACAAAACTAAATGTCAATTTAATTTTTCGATTAACTACTGAATACAAAGTTAAATGTAATAAACCACCAACATCCCTCCCCCCTTATAGCGCGAGGTAATTTATGCATGACCCCTAATCATCTCATTGAAAAAAAAAACATTTACAACTGGCTATAACTAAGGTTGAAAATTTTGACATCAACTTTTTTCTAGTTGATGGAAGTTGAAAATGCGCTTTTTAATTTTTTTCTTCTTACAATTCGTGAATAATAAAAAAGCGACAAAATTTTAATTTTTGTTAGCATTTTCACATAAAAAGTAAACATGCAGAAAAAATTAATTAATTTAGTTAACAAACACTTGCAGGCACAAAGCATGCAGTTTTGATATTGTTTTTATGGCAATCGCTTCTGACTTCGCTGGTCACGAGAGCAATTAATATTTTCAATTTACCTTAATTTTAGTGATTTTTCTGCAGTATGATATTAGTTTTGAAAAGTCAGACAAAACAAAATTTCTAATTTTGGCAACCCTAAACTTAAAAGCGCACTTTATGGACTTTCAGCATTAGAATATAGTGTTACATTTTATTAAAAAAAAATCACACTTTTTTGAAATGGGCTAAACTTGATATATATTTCATCAACAAATTAACTTTTTATTTACAAAGAATTAGTGAAAAAGAACACATCGAGGTGTATGCACAACAACTTTTTCTAGAAGTTATCTTTTAGATTAAATTTTAGTTGAATAATTCTAAACTTAACAGAGATTTTTTTTAAATAAAAGTCTTTTACTAGACAGTTTTTTTCATTAAGTTTTACAAAGTCATGACTCTAATAAAATGTTTGATGTATTCACAAACATTACTCTGATGTGAAAGCAAATCTTCATCATCTTCATCTTAGACATGCATAACTGTTTGGAATGAAGCCTTCTAAAAGATAAACATGTAAAGAATACATAAAAATTGCAACAGCTTTGTAAAATTTTATACAAGCTTAACACAAACACAAAAGTCTGTAAAAAAGAAAGAAATTAAAATAGATGTTTGCTCTATAGTTATAATTACTCTCGAGTCCTAGATAAAAAAAGGGGGACATTTATTAATTTTTGGAAAATTTTCCCACTCATCCTAAGCTTATTATAACACCCCCTGTTTTTTAATTTTTACTTGTTATTAACGAAAACTTTATATCTCAAAACTGAATTAAAAAATTCAGTAAAAATTAGCCTTTAAAACTAGAAAAATAACTATTTTAGTCATAGATAAAAACAAAAACTTTCAGTGTAAACAGGCTTTAAAAATCATATACCTAGTAAATCTTGATTTGTCGAAAATGAACTTTTGATTTATTTTTCACCAAATTATAAAACTTATACCAGCATATTAAATTCTATTGAAATCATGATAAAACAGCTGTTAGAAAATGCACATTTGACTGCAAGCCACAGTAGAATGAAATAGTTTTCTGCATGTTTTGATAGGTGAGACTAAAATTCCCACCTTATGTATTAAATTGGCCCCCTTATGTATTAAGGATTCGAAAGTAGTTATAAATTTATAAATTTGAATGGTGATAAAGAAACAATTTTTATTTATTATAAAAATAACAACAAACCTAATTAACATATTTTAACATAATCACAGTTAATAATATGACAGCTTTTAAGTTTCAATGAGCTTACTCTATTGTGTTAGAGTGAGTTTCCACTCATCCGTTTTTTCATGGGAATGGGAAAGGGACGGTAAAAATAATCACGTGGGCATGCGTAGTATAAGTTTTAATATATCCGAAGGAACACTACGCATTCTTATGTGATTATTTTTCCCTTTCCTATCCCGTTCCCATGAAAAAACAGATGAGTGGAAACTCACCTTTATTTGTGTATTTTATAAGTTTTTTTCAGAAAAAAAAAGTGTGTTTAAGAACTGTTAAAGTAACAACATTTATTTTATTTAAGTAGGTTTCCACATTTGAAAAAAAGCAAAAGCTGTATACAAAGGTGTATTATATATTTAATTTGGTGAAGTAGACAAGTCTCCTATTGTTTGTTAATGTTGAAAAATTGCCATGAGAGTTTGTGTGATGGTTTAATGATATTCAGATGTTAAAAAAGATCTCATGACTATGTATGAAAATATCACAACATAAATGAAAACAAAAGAAGAAGAGAGTGATAGTTTGAAAGTAAAGATTAGTGTGCAGCATTGTTCAGTGACACACCCTTGCCTTTTATAACCGCCTTGTAATCTATTTGTAAAGAGTTTCAACTTATTTTAGCATACATTTTCAACGTATTTTTAGCAAAACTAATTTATGTAGTTGAAGAAGAATTTATACTTAGAGTATTGAAAAAAAGATGGAAGTGAAACAAAATAGCTAAGGATTAACATGATAAAGACATTTGTAATCCATTTAAGAATGATCAAGCAAAAATATCTGGTAAATGGACTTGTGGAATGTGTAGGAAGGTTACATTTTGGGAGCAATGAGTTCATAAAAAAAATGTACTCCAAGTGCTTTATATACAAGGAGCATTTATTAATTTTCAGAAAAATTTTCCCACCCATCCAGAGCTTTTGAAGACACTCTCCTTTTTTTATTTTTTAACCAGACACATTGTAAAAGATTTTGTAAAAGATTTCTGGTGCAGATAAACTCATAAATTAGATTACTAAAAAAAGTTGAAGGCCAAACAATATAATACTATTTAGAGTAAAAGAAACATTACCTCATTAGATAAATCATACCAAAAAGATGAGAAATTTCATATTGAAATAATTACTGTAACTACTTTAGATATTGTTAAGAAAAATTTAACTAAAGTGATTTGGTTCGATAAAAAAGACAATAATGTAACATTGTCAAGACCATTGTTGGTAAAACTAGTAAATTATTGTCAAAAAAACCTAGTAATAAAGAATGAGTAAATTTGCAGGTGCTAAGTTATAAACCAATCAAAGTAGCTCACAATTTGACAATAAAAGGAAATGAAGATCTTGAAATTCTTGTAGCAGAGGCAAAGGAAAAACAGCAAAAAAATGAAGGGGAACAAATAACTGTGGTAAGACATAGATCAGAGCAAATAATAACTGAATAAGAGAAAAGAATTGTTAAGTGTAGACACTGCCTACACTATACAAATCTACATTATTGAAATAACTTAGAGTTAGGCTATATATATTATATATTTATAATATAAATAGCCCAAATTATATATATATATATATATATATATATATATATATATATATATATATATATATATATATATATATATATATATATATATATATATATATATATATATATATATATATATATATATATATATATATATATATATATATATAATTTTAAAAACACTTATCAAAATGTTTTCTACAGTCTGTTTCACCTTCAGCAAGTTTATCATAAAGCTTCCTGATGATCCTGCTGAAAGTAAAACAAACTGTAGAGGATATTTAAATGAGTGTTTTTACTATTTTATACCAAAAATATTTTTCAAGTCACCTGCAGTGACTTAAAACTTGCTAATGGAAAGGAGATTCTGGTACAGTGTGGGTTGTTACTTAATGAAATGATTTGTTAAGTCTTGTGTATAAAATTATTTTTTCGCAAATTTTCTGATGGGTATTTTATTATGCTAGGAACTGATGGTGGTAAAGATTTTCTCAAGTTTTTTTTAAGCATTGTTGTACTGCATTAAGGTTAGATAGCAGCTCACAACTTCAAAATTAACCTCTTACTCAAAGGACTGGTAAAAACACTGCAGTTAAGAGACATATTCTTGTAGTGGTATCAGAAAATTTGCCAGAAACTTACTCCGACATTGAACAAATCTGGTCATTGAATAATGCAAATAGAGTTGAACTAATTTTGACATGCAAACGTAAGGCTTAAAAGTATTGAGCAGTCTAATTTTATAATACACTAACTTACATAGTGTATTATACAGTTAGAGTGCTCAATGTTTTTTAAAGACATACATTTTAAAGGAACATCTTGACAGTGAGGTAATATTTGTTAAAATTCTAATAGTAAGATAATATTTAGTTACAGAAAAAAAAACTACATCATTTAAAAATTTAATTTTAACTTTTAACCTTAATGTATTTAACTTTATTAGTTAATAAATATAATTTCAATTTAATTAATAATCATTGGTTAAACAATATAATTTCACAAAGTATATCAATTTGACTTTTAATTTTATTTTGAACCAACAAACCACTGATTGAAAGCATTGCCATAGTTTAGAAAGTAAAAGTATTGCCTTTGTTGTAGCGTGTAAAAATTGTGTTGCATTGTTATTATGAATGTATAATAACTTATTATAATTAACATGTATTGTTATAGTTAACATGTATTATTATAATAAATGTTAATTATCGTAAATGTATAATAACACATTTACAATAATTAATCTGTGTGTTACATATAAAGTTGTTAACAAGGCCAAAAGCAGCAAGGCCAAGGCCACACGTTACAAAGCACAGGCCAAAAGTTACAAAGCCAAGGACAAGAGTTTTAAGGTCGAGGCCAAAATAAAGAATTTTAAGTCCAAGACATATGCAAACATTTTCAAGTTTAAAGACTTTGATTTTTGCCTTACGCTAATGCCAATTCTTCACAAAAATGTAAGTAGCAAGTGTTGTGAAAATAAAACCATTTGTATAAATAGGCCATTTTGTATAAATAGACCAAGGTTATGTGCAGAATTAAACAAAATCAATAGAAATTTTTTTTTTAAAAACCAAGGCCAAGGCTAGGCCAAGACCACGGCCTAAATTTTTGGCTTTAAGGCCAAGTCAAGGTCAAGGGCCAACAACTCTGGTTACATTCAGGTTAATTATTAAATGTAATAATGTAATAGGCAAACGTAATAGGTTAGTGTATTATAATACATTTACAATAATTAACCTGTGTGTAACACTTATGGTAACTATTGTAAATGTATTATAATAAATTTACAACAAAAAAAACACATAATATTATACAATCAATGTGTAAATAAGACACACTATATTTTGTAAAATATTTTATAAAATACACTGTATTTTAATAAAATACAGTGTATTTTATAAAACTAATAAAATAAAAATTAATTATTAACATAAAATTTATAAAAATAAATGAAAATTTTATTTAAAAATTGAATGTATAACAAAAAATGTATAACAAGGTATAAAAAAAATATAATTTCATGTTTTACTCACTGTACATGTTTTACTTAACACTCTCGGTATATGTTTTGTTTAAAAAATAACATAAAAATATATTAACAAAGTTAGTAAACAATAATTAGTAAACAATAATACAATAAACTAATCCAAAACAATAGCGGTAAATAAAATTTATGGAAATAAAACCTTAAATCTAAGACTTTTTACAGGAATAATCCCTAATTTGATTGGTCAAAATATTTTCTTCGATCGAAACAATATATTCGTAATATTTCATATACATGTTCCATATATATCATATACAAGTCACGTTTTCCGGCAAACGAGAAAAAATTTTTCGGACTTAGTGAAACAAAATTTTTTCATCCAATCAAAATAGGGAGCCATTCCTGTATTTAACAATTAGGATCCGCAGCCATTTTAAAATCTCTGAAATTTCTTATGAACTTTTTGAACATGCGCTTAGAAACATAACGCTTGTAATTGACTGTGCATAATTATAGGTTTTTAAGATTTTGGGGCTCTAATGACAGCTTGTGGGGAAGGGTAGGCGGAAGTGGCAGAGTCTTAAGCTACACAAAAACTCCTTGATCCATCGCTCGGCAGTTTATTCATTTTTGTTAAACTCATTTATTATAAAGAAGTGCACAACGTTGGAGCACTTCAAACCAAATTGAGCTTATGCATGCTTTCACCCAGGGCCTGATCTAGAACAACACGGACTATATAGGCACAACACAATTTGGGGGCCCCCTCGTTAAAAAATTAGGTGAACCAATAAATGTGTCCTCATTTATTAAACCCTGAAGGATAAAAATTTGAGTTGATCTATGACCAGCTACCCAGAAATTAACCCGGGATGATAGCTTTCGAAATCAGACATTGCAGCCACCAAGAAGATTATCTGTATAAAAATTGTAAAAATATTTTACATTTAGAAAAAAAAATTCTGTAATTTAAAATATTTTATTTCAGAAAAAACACAGTTAAAAAGGCGTTGTTTTTCTGTACATGTTTTTAAAATAGCACGGATTTCAAATCGAGCACTTTTATTATCATACTGTAAAATGTAATCAAAAATGTTGAAGTTTTGCAATTTAAATAACTTTTGGGAAATAAATGAATATAAGTTTATAACTTAACTTAACTTTTATTTATTTAGTAGAAATCAATAAGAAAAAAGATTGAAGTTTTTAAAAGTATCTTAGAGCAATAATTCAAAGATAATGGCAATAATTTGTTTTAATAAAAAATAACATTACCATGGAAAATTAAATTCTAGTTCAAGCTTTTGAAATGTATAGAAATATTAAATGAGCAATAAATATAATTAAGCAGAATATATGAATCGCTAAAAGTTAGCGATCAGGAACAATGTTTTTTATTGAAATATCTTTAAATAAGATTGGAAATCTAAAATAAGAATCAGGTTCTTAAAATAAAAAATCAAGTTCTTAAAATAAGAATCAGGTTCTTAAAATAAGAATCAGGTTCTTAAAATAAGAATCAGGTTCTTAAAATAAGAATCAAGTTCTTTAAATAAGAACAAAAGTTCTTAAAATAAGAACAAAAGTTCTTAACCTAGAATCTTGGATTTTGCTGTGTATATAAAACTATAATAAAATAAAAAAATTGGCATCGTTCATGTCGGTGCAATAATATATTTAATTCTTTATAATGTTATTATTTTTTTATCTATCATTTTGGATTGATTTGAAGCATTTAGAAATAAAGTAACAGAGAAAAAACAATTCTTGAACAAACTTGATTGGTACATGATATAATTGTATTCTTTAAACCATCTAATGGAAATAATTAATAACAGATTAAAACAAAATTTAATAATTTTATAAAAAATGTTACTAAGCAACTAATTGGGATAAAAAAAGCTTAAAAATGCACAAATATGGTAAAATAAATTGGATAATATAAAGTAGATACAAAAAAGTTTTTTATGACTTACCCTAATAATATAATCTAAATACCCTAAAATACTCTGTGCGTGTGTGTCTGTCTGTGTGTGTATGTGTGTGTGTGCGTTTGTGTGTGTGGACTTCATTTTGATATATAAATAGTTGAATTTGCCTTGTTCGATTTATTTCAATTTGCTTACAATATTTCCAAATGTCGCTAGCCGACATACAAATAATCTGAACTGGCATTAAACATCGAACCTCTTGGTTCAAACCAATACTGGCTCAGATCTGAGTCAGAACCCTAACCACTGTATCACGGCTGTGATACGGTGTATCACCATATAATATTATTGTTACAAAATAAGAAAAAAAACAATGGTTGTTGCAATATTAGATAGAAAAGTTTAAAGCAATGGAGAAAAAAATTATTGACAATTTGACTGAATTTAAACAATTTAAAAAGGGCGTCACCGTAAAAAGCGTCACTATAAATAGGGAAAAACAACTTTAAGTAAAGAGTAATTTAAGTAATATATTTTTTTAGTCAATATTTTTTAACTTTTGTTAAAGAAGTAAACCGTTCGAAACTTTTAAATAAATTAAAAACGCCAGCATTTTTTGATCTTTGAGATAGCTAACTTCCAGACATTTATATGTTTATACTTATGTCAAATAAAGATGTTTTCCGAAAAATTGCGATGATTGGAGCTTGGGAACAAAAAAGCCCCCAAAATTTGGCCGTCACTGCCTTAAACGTGAGAGCAACAAGTTGATAAAAGATTTTTTGTACTATTTTTACCAAGACTTATTTTCATCAATAAATTTTAAATTTCATAGTGAAATATTTTAGCGTTCAAAAATTATGACCATATAAAGTTTAAACCCCCTCAATTTGAGGGGTTGCAAATTTTATATGGTCATTTTTGAACGCTGACAGATAATACTATGAAACTTAAAATTTATCGATGAATAAAAGTCTAGTTAAAAATAGTACAAAAAGTATTTCATCAACTTGTTGCTTTCACGTTTGGGGCAGTGTCGGCCAAATTTTTTAAGGTATTTTGTTCCAATCATCGTAATTTTTTGCAAAGTATCCTTATTTGTTATAAGTATAAACATATAAATGTTTAGAGTTTGCTCCATGTCTGGAAGTTAGCTATCTCAAAGGCCAAAAAATGCTGGCGCCGCCACTGAAAATTCGATACAAACAATTACTTTTTTACTTTATTTTTATATTAGGCATGTCTTGTGAAGTTTGTCTCATCAAGACTCGTAAAGTTTGTCTCATCGAGTCTCGTGAAGTTTGTCTCATCAAGTCTCGTGAAACATTTCTTTGATAGAACATTTGAAATAATTAATGCTAATTTTGGCCTTCGTTAAATAAAAGTAATTGTACCTTGACCGTCTGATGTCCTTTTTCTTTTCAAATTTCCTTATGTTAGAAAGATGTTTGAGCTAACAATGCGGTGATTATATCTAATTATTAAGAAAATTGTTGTTTCTTTATAAAGAAGAATTTTTTTATGTTGAGCAATTTGACTTGATATATAGACGAGTTATTCAACAATTAGACTTGTTATAAACAATTTGATTTGTTGAACACTTATGAATAAAAACTCTAATACTTGTCATCTGCACTCAAATGTTGTTTCACTAATTATTTAGTGTTTTTTAATTTTTTAATTTTTGGCAAATTTGACTTAAAACTTATTGAAAATAGGTATGCAAGATTTAAAAAAATCCGATATTAGTTAACTAGTAAAACCTGTTAAAATGATACTATCTAGTTCATGTAAAAAATTTATAATTAGTTTTTATTATAATGTACTTTAACTGATATATATATATATATATATATATATATATATATATATATATATATATATATATATATATATATATATATATATATATATATATATATATATATATATATATATATATATATATATATATATATATATATATATATATATATATATATATATATATATATATATATATATATATATATTAGGTTGGGTCATAAAATTTTTTTGAGTTGTTAACCTTGCTATTGTCTAGAAAGTTGTTTTTTTATGTACTAATTTAGGAAAGTAATTTACTTTTATGGATTGAACAATGTCTTCCACCCGCAACTATAATTCCAAAAATTAGCAGGCCCTATTATTATTCAAATATAAAAAGTTTTTCAAAATTACGTGATGTAGGTACTCAAATAAAGCGAAATTTTATAAAAATTTCAAAAATAATAATTTTTTCATATAAAAATTATTATTTTAGATTTTATTGCATAATACCTATAGTTTTTTAACTAAAAATGAAAAAGGTGCATTTTTACATGTTTTTTAATAACAATTTTTTTCGGCAATTTTTATAAAACGATAAATTTTTTCGAATTTTTTATAAAATTTCGCTTCTTTTGAGTACCAGGTTGACCTACTTTTGAAAAGCTTTTTTTCTCCAAAATTTTAATTTTCCCAATAAAGTTGCGCCCTTTAAATCTATCACAATCATTCTCATATTTGATAGTATCAATATTAATAACTATTAGCGATGTTTAGAGTCTGTAACAAGAAAAAAAAATTTTATGACCCACCCTAATATATATATATATATATATATATATATATATATATATATATATATATATATATATATATATATATATATATATATATATATATATATATATATATATATATATATATATATATATATATATGCATATATATATATATATATATATATATATATATATATATATATATATATATATATATATATTATATTATATTATATTATATTATATTATATTGTATTATATTATATTATATTTACGCTTTATTTTTACTACTATATACCATAATTTACAATACACTTTAGCCTACCATGTTTTATATATCTATTTAAACAAACATTTTTTAATGAAGTTTTATTAGAGAATCACAATATGTACACAAACCATCACGCGTATAAATAAATTTAGTTTTAAAATTTCAAAAATTAGTCTTTCTTTTATAAATGATAACAAAATTATAAAAAAAATAAAATTTTTTTTAGAAATGACAACATGTAGTTGTGAAGCCGTAACAACTTATTGTAGACGAACCGTGTACAAAAATATGAAAGCACTTGATGAATATTCTTTACTTTTCGTTACCCAAAACATTTTATTTTTAGATGATGAATAATTTGTTTTCAGTTTAAAGTGACATTTTACTGTTTTTACAAGAAATCGTTTATTAACCGTGATTAACCAAGGACGCCTAATTGTAAACTAAGTACCTGTTGTAATTAAGCAAAAAGCGTTCAAGCGAAGCACTGCATAAGTATATAAAACTTTGAAACGGTTGTTTTCATCAGGTTCGTTTGCAAGGAAGGCTTCAAAGATAGAAAAAAGGTACTTAAAAATAACGTTATATTCTTTTTAAAATATCAGAGAAGAAGATAAGTAACACATTAAATTAAGGATTTAATTTTGTTGATGCGAACAATATGAATTATTGAATTAATATGAATTATTGAATCAATATGAATTAACATTATGAATTATTAACAATATTTGTTATTAAAAATATTTTAATAAATTGTTTTTTATTTTTATCAGATGAGATCTATCGCAGCTTTCCTCCTTTTTTTTGCTGTTGCAAATGCAAAGACTGTACACCGTAAGTTTTCTTTTGATTAAAGTCTGCATTCAAATTTGTCTTATAATTTTTGACATTAATTGTAATAATATAATAGTTTCTTTATGCTCGCGTATATATATATATATATATATATATATATATATATATATATATATATATATATATATATACGTATTTACTATTAGAAAAATAGAACTATATTTCTCTAAGAGTAAATACGTATATTCAAAGTTTTATTTGAAAAGCAATTTTTTTAAATTCAAACTATCAATTTTTTTTAGAATCTCTAAGCAAGAGAAGTCCACAGGCTTGTTCTGCTGACTGCCCAGCTGTGTGCGCACCAGCTTGTTTACAAGTTTGTTGTATGGCTCCACCTCCACCACCACCTCCACCCCCACCACCACCACCACCACCTCCACCACCACCACCACCACCACCACCAGCTCCATTACCAGGAAATCCAGGACCCCCAGGACGCCCAGGACCTCCAGGAGGTCCAGGACCAATGGGACCACCAGGACCACCAGGACCACCTGGACCACCAGGAAATCCAGGACAAGGAGGTTTGCCCGGTCAACCTGCACCACCACCACCACCATGTCCTCCAATTTGCCCTGTTCAATGCATTCCAACTTGCCCACAATATTGCTGTCCAGCCAAGAAAAAGTAAAGAAACCTATGGAACTTGTTTTTTAAGTGACCAAGATATTTTATCTGCAACATCAATTTTTTAAATACAATTATAAAAATGAAAATAGATGTAAATAAACCAGAAAAAATAATAAACTTTATTTAATATTGTTTTTTATATAAAAAAAAAAAACTAAGTTCATTAAATTCTATAAGTGTATAAGGTCATAAGTTGAAAATTCTATAAGTGTATAAGGTCATAAGTTGAAAAAATGAAGCTGAATATCCTAGTCTCAAATGTTTTGATCAAAACTTGTTTAATTTATTTTTTACATTACAAAATTTCAAGATTTATAATAACAATGGTAAATTGTTTAAAAGCGGTGTAATTCATAATATATTTCGTGGAGTTGTTGTTAATAAAAAGTTGCGCTAAAGCTTTTTATCAAGTTTATGCATATATTATATGCATAATTAATATAGTATGCATAGTTATTTAATTAATATTGTCTTCTTGCAACTGTATTGCAACATATTCTTGTCTTCTTGCAACTGTCTGTAGTGATTAAAGAGTCTGTCTTAATTTTTTTATTATATGGTGAATTTTGATAGGTAATGAAAAATAAAATTCAAAAAAAAAAAATAACCTACTTGATAAAGAAATTTTAAAATGGAAACAAAGACGCAGATCATGGAGAATAAAGCGTGATCAAGTACTTTGATCATTGGGTATAGTAAACGGTGTTTCTATTTTCTTTTATTTTCTCTTTTTAGGTTTAAATCGCTCAACCACGTATTGAAACAAAAATAGTTAATAATTTTATAAGTGGGGCTGTCTATTAACTACGTAAACAGTTTTTTTGAAACATTTACCCCCTTGTCAACAATTGTTAAAAAAGTTCAGACCCCCTCCCCCTATTTTGTTGGCGTAATTAATGGACAACCTTAGTGCTTCTTGTTTCAAATATATCGAATAAAAAATAGCGACTGTTACAATAAAACAAGTTAAAAAATAATTTTTTAAATGGAATATTGAAATGGTAGAAAATTTGATTGATGCTAATTCTAATTGTAAATCACAAATGAGTTACCCCGGGATAGATTTTGATGGCGACAAGCCGGCAATGTTATACAATCTTATACATTTAAGGGATGATATGGCAAAATTGTATTGTAACAATGATGAAACATGGATGTTTGGTCTTGTCGAGGACCAAACATCCATGGTGATATGAACGATAAAGAATACAAAAAACTTTATCAAAAAGAGACTGAATGTAATACAAAAGGCAGGTCTAGAATTACTAAAAAATTCAAAGATGTAAGACAAAACTTTTCAAAAGCTGTCACTTTAGGAACGAAAAGTGAAAAAGTTGTATACGAATTCTATGACAAGTTGATTAAAATTTGGGGGTTTTCAACAATTATAAAACCTTTGTCATTTGGTATAAAAAGTCGAAGAAGAAAACATAAACAGTTATAATGAAGAAACTGAATATGATTTCTTTAATAAAGAATCTCTTGACCAATTATCAACGTCACTACCAGAATTTTTTTCTGAAACAGGAAACGTGATTACTGCTACACCAATTTGTAAAAGAAAGACAAATGTAGTTCTTAAACTAAATGATAACAAGCGAAAACATTTAGAAAAAAATTTATCTACAAGTCAACGTGACAAACTATTATTCGCTGAAGCAAGAGGAGACGCGAAATTTAAAACTGATTTGGCTGAAAGTTTACGTTTATCAAGCAAAAGCTTTACTAAATCACTAGAGTAAGTAAGTCCATGGTTAATGTGGGTAACAGCATGTGTCGTTCAATTGAAATGTTAGCAATGAAAATGCAACCTGTTCAACCACATTATTTGCCACAACACCAACCTATTCCAACTTAATACAATTTTAATGCACCTACATTTTCTCAAAATTTTAAAGATCCTGAACCAGCTCCTGAGAGAAAGGAAAAGTAGAAAACTGTTTTATACACATATTTTTTTATACTTTTTTGCTCTGTGGCTAAAGAGCACCTGTGGATATGTAAGAGTGTTAATAGATAGTTGATAGTTTTTTATAATATGAAATACATCCATAACTTTGTTTTATTAATGTTTTTAAGTAAAAGTTTATAGTATATAATGTACTTGTATAGTACAATACTATTTAAAATATTTTTTTTTATTGATCATATAGATTTTGATGAATAAAATAATTAAAAATTAACAAAGCAGTAATAAAAATATATAAACAAAGTATATATAATTCAATTATGCAGAAATTTTCTGTAATTTTACCATCAAAAGTGATTTTATGATTTAAGCATTATTATTAGTTGAGCAAACATTCTGAAATGTAAGATGTAAGCAATGTTCTTGTGAACTCTCCTTCTGCTGTATTGTTTGAATAAACTGGGTTTGGTTGATTAATATAAGTTTTTTCATTATCTTTAATTAGCTGAACTTGTTTATTTACACTGTCATAATCAACTAATGTTTTGTGTCTCTTGCAAAAATTATGTAATACAAATGTGGCATAAACAATTTTTGGTACAAGTTCCAATTTAAAATCTATTTTTCTGGTAAGAATTGCCCAGCGAGCTTTAAATCTTCCAAATGTACATTCAATAGGGTTTCGATCCGATCGAAACGTGCTATTAAATACTACTTGCTCGTTATTGCTGCACTACTTGCTACTTGTTTGATACTCTTTTATACAAAAGGGAGTTAAGGGTTAAGCTGGATTGCTAATAATATATGTTCCAATTTTTTCGTATCCATGAAATACTGATTAAAACGTTCCTGGTAAGGAACCATTGCGTAGTTTTCTGTTTATGGATGAGTTTGCAAATACTTTGCTATTGTGAACACTTTCAGGCCAAACGCATTCTACAACTATAAACATTCCGTTATAATCACATACTGCTTGAACATTTATGAAATAATATTGTTTATAACAAAAAACAATCCTGAGAGTTTTCAACAGGACAGGCTATTGGCACATATGTACCGTCTATACAACCAAAAGCTTGAATCATACCAAACTTGGATTCAAACGCAGCCACCTTTTGTCTCATTTTGGATTCTGTTTTCGGTAGAGATATATAGATTGGTACTAGGTGATAAACAATGTTTTCGTACACTTGTGTAATAATTGAAGAGACGGTATTTACTGCAATCCCAAAAAAGTTGGCTGTCATTACTAAAGAACCAGTATCTTTAAGATAGTATAGAGTAATTGCAAGCTTTTTTTTCTGTGCTCAAAGCTTTATAATTAAGGGATTTCGGATTAGGTGCAATGTATGGTTTAAGTTATTCGGCCAAATCCATAAATGCAATTTTTGACAATCTAAAATTTTTAACCAAGTAAATCTCTGGAGAACTACCAGTTATCATGTTTTCCCACCACTTATCAGACCGTCCAAGTTTGTACCAACAACTACAAGGTTTTTTACTATATTTTCTTAACATTTCGTCTTTAAGCTTTTTAAGGCGAAAGTTTTTTTTTTTCTTAATTTGATGCTCATTTTCTAAAATACGTAATATTATTATACTTCTAATATGCATTAAATAAGATTGGAGAGCTATTATATTAGTTGTAGCAATGAGAACTATTTTTTTTTTTAACTTCCATTTTTAATTTAATAATTTGCGCGAATGATTATATATAAACAAATGTCACATGATCTTAAAAATGTCCCGTTAGAACGAGATGTTTTTTTTCCATATAAACACAGCTGAAATTCATCACGTCTAACCGGGGTACCCCGGTTAGGCGAGATGAATTTCAGAAGATATTAAAATTGTTCCCCTTAAAAGATATAAATATTGTTTAAATTTTCAGATTTAAAAAAAGATGTTTAAGCATTAGAATTAAATGGTACATTATTTAATACAGTAATCAAAAAATACAGTAACCATATAAATTGTACTAATAGATTATCTTAAAGTACTTTAGTACTTTTGATTTACATTTAGCGTTAAATATTTTTATTACATCTAGAACAAAAAGCGGTTAATAAACAGCTTAGACATATTAAATTTTAATATTGAAATGCTGATTTTAGTAAACCCTTTTCAATCTGATAGTTGTCTTGATTTTTAATGCTTGTTCAGTGGTCAGTTAAACATTTAGTTGCATATTTTTCATTAAATGATTTGATTGTCTTAATGCGGTAACATGGGCATAGGAAATAAATGTTACTAAAACACCTAATCATGTGAATACTGAAAAATTATTTTGACTACGTTTATCTTGATTTTGACATCTAGCCATTGGTATTAAAAATATGCTCCATGATGATGACATTTGTATTAGCCAATGATATTTTATATAAATTAGATGCCTTCAATTCAAAAAGTGAAGCCGCTTTTGGCCTTTTTACAAATGGCGAATTAAATTTCTAAACATTAAAAATACTATTTAACTTTTTTTTTCTTATATGAAGTAAATATATTTTAAACCTATATACTATTTATGTAAAAGTATTAAAAGGAAATTAGAGTATTTGCAAAATAGTAATTTATGATTTTTAAATTTATTTTCGATTAAAAAGATATTGAAGTTTTTAATAGAAAAGGGATCGTCCATAAATTACGTAACGCGAAGTTTAACTTATAGACAAAAGACAAAAGATTAAAAGTTTTCCCTCGAAGAGTCATTAATTAAACCAAGTATTTACATGTGAAATTTACATGTGATACTTCAGCGCTAGCAAAATATTAAATATATAAAAATAAAGTTGTTTTCAATCAGGCCAATATTTTTTACTTTTAGATACTTTATAATCTTTATAATTCATCTTAGCAAACACACAGTTTGCTATGCAGACAGTCACTTCGAAGATTTACTCAGCAGAACTGAAAAAAAAGCATGGTGAAAGCAGAAGCTGAAAAAAAGCATTTAAGTCTGTTGTAGCCAATTTCCTTGGAAATAATAAATCTCCTGACTATGTAAATATTGTGCAGAAGTGCATTAGTGCGTACAAGTTAATGGGTTGTAACATGTCCCTCAAGATTCATCTCCTCGACTCACATCTCGACTTCTTTCCAGAAAACCTAGGTTCTGTTAGTGATGAACATGGTGAACGTTTCCATCAGGACATCTCTGTGATGGAGTCACGCTATCAAGGCCGATGGAGTGCAGCAATGTTAGCCGACTATTGC